CAGCTTATTTCCTTCCTTCCTTCCTTCCTTCCTTCCTTCCTTCCTTCATTCCTTCCTTCCTTCCTCTTTCAGCTTCTAACATGCATTTTTTAGATGGTGGCCTCTGATAGAACATCCAAACCCAGCACAAAATGTCCCGCCCCCCCAGGGATTTGAACCGGGAACCCTGGGAGCATGGACCCTGTTTACTGTGATGAGTTTTTCTGATGTTGGTTCCCTCCGGCTGTCCCAGGAGTCCTGGCTTTCTCCGTGGGGTCCTTCTGGGGCCCCCCCGGGGCGTCCGGCTCGTGCCCGCCGGCAGCTGCCCTTCAGGAACGAGTGGGCCCCCTGGAGCGGCTGGTCCCAGTGCTCCCGCAGCTGTGGGGGCGGAGCCTCGGTGCGCACGCGCACCTGCATCACCAGGTGAGGATGCCCCGCCCCCGGCCCCCGGCCCCCGGACCGGTACTGTTTCCGTTTCAGAGTGTCAATTAAAGCCTTTAAGTGTTGAAAAGGATGCAGCCATGATTCAGGGAGAAAGATACCCGTCTCCAACATTTGTAAATATACAGAGTTTAAGAAATTTTCACCCTCGAGACATGAAATCTGAAAATAATAATGATAATAATGATAATAACTCAAATAAATTCAATTTATGTTGATTTTAAAGGAATACGTTGGCAGTTTTCTGCATATATTGAAGGCATGACACTGATTTTCCCATTTTATTACCCCCCAATAAATTTGAGCTCTAGATTACTATATTGGTCTTAATTAAATTTGACTTTGTGAAGCTGAGTGTCTAAAAAGGCTAAAAACATTAATGCAATCTTTCCTTTCCTTGTTCTTTGACATCAGTTATTCCTATCATTATCAGGCAGAGATAAGTTTTGTGAGTATATATTATGCTTTAGAGCCCTTAAGCCTCAAAGTCCTGAATATATTCACACAATATATTCACAATATAAACAACCCCCCCCCCCCCCCGGATAAAAAGGTAAGGTTGGGGAAGTACTGACTTCTGTGAGATGCAGTTTTCTGTCCCGTTTGTGGGCTGGTTTAATTGGTTTAGGAAATGTGCAGATATTATTGGTTCTTTTAGACATTTTGCGGACTTTCGTGTCTTTTTTTACTCACACAGCACATCAAGTTCTTTTTGCTATCAGAGCATAAATAATCTGTGAGCATTTGGGGTCATTTCCACTCTGTCCTTCAGCGTTTTGCTCTGTTTATCCTACAAATCTCTGCTTTCTGTGTTGAAGGAACCCGGTTGGTGGACTTTGCTCCGGAGATCCGAGACAATACAAGATCTGCAACACCAAGGTCGTTCCTTCTCTAAACTCAGGCTCTAAACTGTTTGCTCTGGGAGCGGGTCCCCGCCCGGGGTGTGTTCAGGGAGGGTGGGGCAGCCCGGCGCTCTCTGGGTGGGATCTGGAGTTTCACTCGCACTTTAACCCGCGTTTTTACGGAGCTGCTCGGGGATTTAACACCCTCCAGTCCGCCTCCAGACCTGTGTGTGTGTGTGTGTGGGTGTGTGTGTGTGTGCCGTCTGTCCACGTGGCTTATATTGATTAAAGGAAAACACACACATGTGCTGCAGCATGTTTAAGCAAGTTTGAATGTGTCCATGTGGCAGTTTTTTTCGTCTGTGAGCTCAGAATATCCATCAAACCGACATAAATCCTGACTTTTCTCCATGTTTGCTTCATAATTATGTTTTTATTGTGCTTATTTACTGTATTTACCACATTTGTCTTACTGAAACCTGTCAAAACTCGTCGGGTTGGAACTTCAGTTTTAAGTTATGGAGTTAGATTTTATAGACTGGTATTCTTAATGGCTGTAATTACTCTGGGTGAGCTATATATATATATATATATATACATACAGTATATACACATAAGTAATCTTTGAGCTATAGATTATTGGATTGGTTTTAATTAAATTCGACTTTGTGACACTGAGTGTCTAAAAAGTCTAAAAACATTAATGCAATCTTTCCTTTCCTTGCTCTTTGACATCAGTTTTTCCTATAATTATCATTAACTTCATCTATTATTATTGTATTTTAGAGCCCTTTAGCCTCAAAATCCTGATTTCTACATTTATTCCAGTTTCCCTTTGAGCCTCATGACTGCAGCACTCTTAAAAAAAAATCTAGACATTAAAACATCTTGGTGGTCAAAGGAAAATATCTTTTCTGAAATCTGCTTCTCGCTATTTTCATATTTAACAAGGTTTTCAACCCACAATCTGCTTTAAAGCTTAGCAAAATGATGTTCCAGAGTATTAAAATAACAGTTTTCAAACCGTAAAGGGAAACGGGGACACAAGATGACTGGAAGGAAGCAAGTTAGAAGAACATGAAATCACTACAAACTGGCCAAATTTGACAAGAAAACACTCAAAATGACCTCAAAAATATAATATTCCAGTTTCCCTTTGAGCCACACAACTGCAGCACTCGTAAAAAAAATCTAGACATTAAAACATCTTGGTGCTTAAAGGAAAATGTCTTTTCCAATATCTGCTTCTCTATTTTCAGATTTAACAAGGTTCTTTTTTTTCCCAACTATATTTATAGAACATTTTTTAAAACGATAACATACAGGGTACAAAGTATAAAGATGACACATTTAGTGGCACAACTGTATGTAAACACCCAGAAACATTGCCCAGCAACCCCCACCCTCACCTTGATTTAACAAGGTTTTAACCCGCATTTAATTCAGTTTTAAATTAAGGAGTTAGATTTTAAAGGCTGGTTTTCTTAATCTGGGTGAGCTCACTGGGCTTTTCTGTACAGGAGTGCCCCCCCGGCTCGGAGGACTTCAGACAGATGCAGTGTGCTGCCTTCAATGACAGGCCTGTGGTGGCTGGGAACTCCTTCAGATGGACCACTTTTCATGGAGGTCAGCAGCAGAACAAACTGGGCCGGTCCCGATCCCAAATCTGGATCCCATCCGATCCCATATCTGCAAAAAAATGAGAAAATGGCCGGCTGGAGAAAATGCAGATTCAGACTCCTTCCTTCCTTCCTTCTTTCCTCTGCTTCTTTCTTTCTTTCTTTCCTCTATATCAGCTTATTTCCTTCCTTCCTTCCTTCCTTCCTTCCTTCCTTCCTTC